GCTCAGCGCGTTCGTCGCGCGCGACGCCGTCGGCGGCGGCGGCGACGTCGCGGCGGCGACGTTCCTCGACACGCCGGGCCACGCGGCCTTCTCGAAGATGCGCGAGACGTCGACGCGCGCCGTCGACATCGCCGTCGTCGTCGTCGCCGCGGACGACGGCGTCATGCCCCAGACCGTCGAGGCCGTGGACCACGCGCGCGCGGCGCGCGCGCAGATCGTCGTCGCCGTGACCAAGGTCGACGCGGTCGGCGGCGACGCCGCGCGGGCCGAGGCCGTCGCGCGCGTCCGCGGCGAGCTCCGGGAGCGCTGCGGCGTCGCCACGGAGGCCGACGGCGGCGACGTGCCCCTCGTCGCGCTGAGCGCGCGGACGGGCGAGGGCCTCGGCGACCTCCGGGAGACGCTCGCGCTCCAGAGCGAGGTCCTGGACCTCCGCGCCGACGCCGACGCGCCCGCCGAGGGCGTCGTCGTCGACACGGTCGTCGACGCGCGCCACGGCGGCACGTGCTGCGACGTGCTCGTGACCACTTACAGCGGGGTCCTAGCGTAGTGGGGTGGGGGAGCCTCAGGCGCGCGCGGCCTTGAATGCCTTGATCGCCTTGATGAAGGGGCAGGACGTGGCGGCGAGGATGTCGGCGCAGGAGACGCAGAGGTCGGACTTGAGGCCGAACTTCTCGAGGAGGTACTGGGCGATGACGCGGCCGCGGAGGCCGCGGACGGGCGCGACCTTCTTGTTGTCGTAGCGCATGTCGTCGACGCGCTCGGACTTCAGGCAGATCGACCAGAAGGTCTGGATGTTCTTGGGGATGCGGAGGTCGCCCCACGCGAAGTCGTAGGTGTCGAGGATCGCGGCCGCGTACATGGCCGCGAGGACGTAGTTGGTCTTCGTCTCGGCGGACGTCGCCTTCTTGCCCTCGGTCGCCGGCGTCGCGTGGCTCCAGGGCCAGCGCTTCTCGCGGACGAGCTTGACGACCTTGTTGACCGTCAGGCCGCCGAGCGCGGCGAGCGCGACGACCGCGGGGCTGAGCAGGCGCATGACGACCTCGGAGACGCTCTGGACCGCGACGACGCGCTGCTCCGGCAGCATCTCGGCCAAACGCTCTCGGCCCTCCTGGTCCACGATGATCTCGTCGAGCTTCCGCATGTCCGCGGCGACGGACTCGTCGACGTCGCCGACGCCGGGGACCTCGGACTCCTCGTCGACCTCAGACTCCTCGTCGACCTCGGACTTGCCTTCGGTCTCGGCCGCCTTGGGCTCCGCCGCGGCTTTCATGCCCGCGATGAGGTCCTCGACGACGGGCGCGTCCTCCTCGACGCGCTTCGCCTCGCGCTTCGCGCGCGCGA